ACTAATGACTGGCCGAAGGCCTTATTTCTGAACTTTTACTTTTTGTGTTGGTTTTATTTTGGCTTTTCTGTCATTTCTAGGCAAAGGTTTTCCTAATGTAGATGTCTGTAGATGTGACCCCCCCCCCCACCCTGCCTTCCCATCTGTGAATTGTGATGTATCGTAACATCCCTAAAATGCTCTTCTCTGATTGGAACTATTTGCTTCTTGTTTGTGCCATTTTCTTTCCTAGCAATGAGCATTTTTACATCACCCAAGTCACTTTGCTAGACATTGAATAACAGGGCATTTTTCCCCAGGATCAAAGCTATTGTTTAACTTGCGTAGTTTTGGCAGAATGGAAAATCATCCTTGCTTTCCATTACCCCCGACTTTTTACCTGTTGAGGTGTTCTGTGTTTTCTAATAAATTAGAGCACTATATGAGAATGTAGACATTACCAGCTTTCATGCTTTTTGCGTTTTTGCATATTTTCCAGCTGTCACTCAAAATCCACTCACTGGCTATTCTGAGAAATTGTCATGCCAGCATCACAAGCCTTCTGGGACAGTAGCTCAAGCATGTCAAGTGACCTCTTGTATAACACCGGGTTCGTCAGTGAATGACTACTGCATCTCTAACGATCCGAGCCAGTGCCCAGGCATCTTTAATGTACATCTTTTTGGTGAATGGCAGCACTTTCCACTATCAGTCTTTCAATTGTGCACCTTAATCATTCTTTTTGCCATGTGCAGTATGGAGATGTGGTGTGACACACAGGAAAGGAAATGAGCTTTTGCCCTGGTTGTGTTTCAGTAGGTGAGGCGTGAGAGAGCACGCTCACCACGCTCCACATGTAGGCCTCTAGATCTTCTTGCTATTGGTCAGGAAAAGAAAAGCAACCTAACTTAAGACCGGAATAATCAAGGGTCATTGTTCCCGTTTCGCCTGAGTCAAAACAAAACTGAAATTTGTTTCTTGCATATATCGTTTTTGAAAAACAGCAGGAGTGTGACACGCTGTTTTTTTTTTTTTTTTTTTTGATGTGGAAACTGCTTTTATTTCACTGTACTGATCAGCTGTTGTAACACTGAATGATTCTCTAATAATTGGAACTTCTAAAAAAAAAAAAAAATAAAGGTTGCTTCTCCTTTTCAGTGCTGCAGAGATTTTATTTAACAGTCCTTTTATTGTGCATGGTCTGTGTGGGTGATCAGCGATGGACAGTCACTCATTCACCCGTCTCGTGTGACTGATGTGAGCTTCCTTCTTCTTGCAGAAGCCTTTTCTTTTTCTGCGGTTTCCTCTTGATCGCATCTTGCTTCTTCTGGATACTCTCATGGATTCTTTGTTTAAATTTCTTCCGCTTATTCCTGATCTTCTCCAGTTCCTCTCTCCTCTTTTGTTCCAGATCTGGGTCCTAAACAGGATGGCAAACGCACGTAGTTCTGAGTGTCAGTTTGTGATTACAGTATTGCTGCTTGCTTACATTCATTTAGTAGACTTTTGTCCAAAGTGACGTATGGTGACGTAAGGCAGTGGTGGCTTGATGGTTAGGGTAGCGCACCAGCAAGTCACCACTGAGGTACCCTGAGCAAGGTACTGTCCCCAAGCACTGCTCCCCGGGCGCTGAATTAGCTGCCTCCTGCTATGTCACGAAAGTCACATATGGGTCAAATGCAGAGGACACATTTCGTTGTTGCGCACTGTGTGCTGTGGTGTGTTGACAATGACCACTGATCACTTAATTCTAAATTCTATAAGAATCAGCGACCAGGCTCAGCCTGCATGCCTGGAGCCCTTGAAGCTAGAGGCCTTACTCAAGGGGCCACGAGTAATCACTTTGCTGCCCATGGGATTCAAACCCACAACCTTGGGCACAGATCGTTCTCATTGAACTACACACCATCCTAAGTAAAGTGTTTCTTTCTTTCCATGCTTATAGTATGTATTCCAATCTACAGTCCAAACGTACACCTGGCCTTAAGTGACCCCAGTACTGCAGATGCATGATACCTGCAGCCTATTCATACTCACTTTTCCTTCCAAGATCATCGCTTTCCTTTTGTTGATTTCCTTCTTCTCATCAAAGTCTGTTGACTCAAGTTTCTGTCAGACGAAAGAACAGGAGAGGAGGGTCTTAATTCACCAGAAGCCCTCCCCCGCACCATGAAGACATGCGGGATGTCACTTGTGATCTAACTTTATTAACCAGCATAACACTGGGTCATACAATTTCACATTCGCGCCGGGTCACGTTGACTTGAGTGAGAATCTTCAGCACTTCACTCTCCTCCACCGAATATTCCTGCAGTTTGGCTTCTACAAAAATGGAATTCTTGAAATTAGTCTTAACAATGATGACAGCACATCAGCAGGTTCTGGGCTGCCTCTCCAAGCAAGGCATATATGACAGCAGACTTATCACTCACGGATCTGCCCCTCGATGGCCTGGACCAGGTGAATGTCATACTGCGTGACCAGCGTCAGAGAGACGCCATGCCGCCCTGGAAGCGAGAGAGAAGGCCGTCACGCTCTGCCATCAGCACCGAGTGCAACCGCCACGCAGCAGGAACGCCACATTACCCGCTCTGGCAGTCCGACCAACTCTGTGAATGTAGATCTTGGGTAAACCAGGTGTGTTGTGATTGATGACAACTTGGACTGTTGGGATGTCAAGACCCCTGGGAGGAGAGCAATGGCAATGCTGGTTAGATGTTAAAATGAACATCAAATGTGCACTAAATCGGTGATTCTCAACCCGCTCCTTGGAGACCCCAGGATGGTCCATGATTTTGCTCCCGAGGGCCCCCCAAGGACGGGGTCGAGAAACTAAACTGGAATATTACACTTCAGTTCACAACCCCACAGTGAGAACTGCACTCTGTATAGGGTGACCAGATAATCCATGTCACTTTGAGTGAGGACAGGATTTGTAAACTACCATTTCAATTAAAAGAATTTCACTTAAGTACAGAGTTCTTGCTGTGTGAGTCATTAAATCAAGGGAACAAACCAGTCAAAGCGCAAGAACAAAACCAAACTATTTAGCCAAGCACAGGAGCTTACAGTTTTAGTTTGTCAAACCTAAAGTAACAAATAGGTTATCTGGTCACCCTAGCTTTGTACCACCTCACGTCATTCACAACTATGGATATCCTTGCTTTCTATTTTTGGCATTTTATATTCGTTATCTCATTTGTTCTAGGGTGGCCTGGTGGTGCAGTGGTTAGCGCTGTCACCTCACACCTCTGGGACCTGAGTTTGAGTGTCTGCCGTGGCTGTGTGTGTCGAGTTGGCTTGTTCCCCCCATGTCGTCGTGGGGTTTCCTCCGGGCACTCCAGGTTCCTCTCACAGTCCAGAAACACGGTGAGGCTGATTATAGTTACCTAATTGTCCATAGGTGTGCTTGTGTGTGTGTGTGTGTGCCCTATGACAGAAAGTAGGTAGACAGGTATGTCACTGTGCAGCTGTACAGTATGTTTGGAGAAAACTTGAGAACACGGAAACAAAACAATGCAGAGACTGACTGTGTGTCTAAGTCCTGGTACTGCACCCTGTGCTGTCTGGGTCACCTGTGGCCAGGATGAGCAGCTGAAAAACAGAAGTACTGATTCCTACCTGGCGGCTACATCGGTCGCTATCAGTATCTTAAAGACGCCGGACTTGAACTTTGCAAGATTAGCAAATCGCTGTTTCTAAAGGGAAAAAAAAAAAACGGGAGAGAAAATTCTTAAATGCTTGATGCAGTTGGCTGATGGGGTTTGTTTCTGAAAAGTTTCCAGACTCTGCCCCATCTCATTACTGAGCAGTACAAAGACCAGACGAGAGGTTATTTCAACACAGACACCGAAAATGAGCCCAGTCGAGTCTGGATAATCAACACTGACAAAAGGAGTTAGGCTCCATCTCACGATCCCATCACCTGTTTCATCATGGAGTGCAGAGAGACAGCTGGGAAGTCAAATTCTCGCAGCATCATCATGAGGATCTGGCAGTTCCTGTAATGCCAGCATAGTCACAAGCTGCTTCACAACATCTGAGTTCACCACAGTCAGACAAATTGCACATGAAGGCTCCCTACTTGCAGGTGTTGGTGAAGATTATGATGGACCAGTCTTCATGCTCGTCCTGGAACTTTTGGATGAGGTGTACCAGATACGCGTCTTTGACTTTCTCAGGAGTGAGGATGTAGCGTTGGTCCAGCTCCTCAACAGTACGCACCCTATCAGTAGTAGTAATACTTTATTGATCTTGAAGGAAATTCCAAAAGTTACGGCAGCATACACAAAAAGTGACATTGCACTAATGCAAAAGACACAGGACAATAATACTAGATTGCAATGTGCAAAATAAAATGTGCAAGCATTTATAGAGTGAACATTTCCTACAATTACATTCATAACTGCAACATAAAATGAGCCAATACAAGCTGCCGATTTGGTAATATAATAGATCCCGCATTTCAGGTCATTGTGTCATTTCAGTGCAATCTGTTCATGATTAGTTTATTGCTAGGCAATGCTAACAAGATTTCAAGCCCCTTAAGTGGTTATTTTAACATGAGAGCCAGTCATTACCAGCATATCTTTTGATCACAGTCAGGGTTTTATCTGAACCTGCTTATAGGAGGCAATAAGCCAATCTTACTCAGACTTGCTTTCCCAGAAGAACGGCTTGTTCATGGCGATGCTCTTCAGCTCCTGCAAGGTGTCGGTGAGCGTGGCACTGAACAGCAGCGTCTGCCTCTTAGCGGGCACCACACTGAGGATCACCTCCAGGTCCTTGGTGAAGTCCGTGCAGCCCTGCTCAAGCAGCCGATCGGCCTCATCTAAGATCTAAGTGCAAAAACACATTTTTAAAAAAAGAACAATAAATAACATGCATACGCTGCTTGGAGGTCATTCCTTCAGCTGGATGCATTATCCCACTGCAGACATATCTGTGTGCAGGCTTACTGTACAATGATATAACTTGCCAGAAAGCGAATTTGCTTCATGTTGAAGGTGTTTGAGCTTCGGATGTGATCTGCCAATCTCCCAGGCGTTGCCACGACAATGTGGGGTTTCTTTGACAACTCAAGGGCCTGTGTCACCATGTCTACAAAGTACATTAGAGACAGACATGTCAGTCGATATTCTTTCCTGCATACCCAGATGTAATTAAATAAACTCAATGATTTCACAGGTGAACATTACCCATTCCTCCGACTATGATACAATCCCGCAAAGCAAGAGGTTTCCCAAGAACTCGGAATTGCTCTGCGATCTGATAAGCCAGCTCCCTGCACAACAAACCATCCAATCAAATTAACCAAATTGCTTCAATAGTTACCAAATCCGTTAGTCTTCTGCCTTCCTGCCTGTACTTCAAGACTCATCTTATGGGTAAGTACTGACCTGGTAGGAGTGAGCACCAAACAGAAGATGCCATAGGGGTCTTCGGAGAGCTTCTGCAGGACAGGCAGGACAAATGCGGCGGTCTTCCCACTGCCTGTTTTCGCACAGCCCATACAATCTCGGCCTGGGAACGAGTAATAAGATCATGAGACTAAGAGCCTAAAACATATCAAGTTAGGAGTATAGATGAAAACAGCCATTAAGAAACTTCCACTGGTGGATGAGGAGATGGACGTAATAACCGCAGTTACAATATTACAATATTATTTATATCACAATATAAATTACCGTACCCGAGGAGTAGAATGAAGCACACATGCTGACAAGCTTATACCATTTAATCCTACCTTGAAGTATAGCTGGCAGACAGTTCTCCTGTACGGGAGTTGGCTTATTGATGCCCATTTGTTTACACTGTTGAATCAACCAGTCCGATAAACCCAAGGACGAAAAGTCAGACATCTTCCGTCAAGCACGCCGAAGTACAAAGCCTATATTGCCTGTTAATTGTCCAGCTTTAACTGAGGATTTAATAGCTTTAAAAAGTAACTATTCTAAGTAATCAACACCAGTATACCAACGTAAGTGACCGCATGTCAACATGCTACAGTCGCCTACATTTAACGCAATGACTGACGTCAATTTTTCTGCCGACGTATACGGAAGGACATCGGGGCCAAAAAGCTTTTGAGCAAGAATCACTTTTTTTTTTTTTTTTTTTTTAAATAATCACTGCTTAACTAATCAGAATCTTACCGCATAAATGAACGACATAAATGCCGGGTTTATTTATTATATGTTAATAAATGAGTCTCGAGACAGTGAAATATTGCTTTATAATATATATATGTAAAACACATGAGAGAATCACACAAAAGAGGAAAACACTCCAGGTGTCATGGTGAAAATTGATGGATCAAATGCATACAGGGAGAGCTAGTGCTTTGTGTTCGCCGGTTCAAGCCCAGCTTCAGCACATCTGCGGGTCCTTGAGCAAGACCCTCAATCCCCAGCTCCCTGGGCGCTGCTACGGGTGGCTGCCCTTCGCGGACAGCTTGCTCTACAAAGAGCAAGTTGAGGGAGGCGTAAAAACAATTTCCCCACAGGGATCAATAAAGTACCAATTATTAATTAATTATTAATTATTATTATTATATAGGACAGCATATAATTGCTCTTGAAAATAAGGATGCTGCCTTTGTGAGTGCAATCCAACTCTCCTGTGAATGAAGAAGGCCTTTTTCATTTATATTTACATTTATATTTTATACACTTAGCAGACACTTTAGTGCAATGAACAAGTGAGGCAAATTACACATTACAAACATACCTGCTTCTCAGGAGTCCACTAGGCATAAGTGCAGCTAGGCTAAGCTTCCAGTGAAAGCCCAGGTACAGGTGTGAGCAGTATTGTGAAGCATGAGCTACACAACAATTTCTAACAAAGTAAGAACCTAATAAGATTATTCAAGGATCAAAAGTGGAATGTAAGAACACTGATAGAACATAAAGACGTGTCCTATAATAAAATAATAAAACAGCATCTATTCAGAAGATAGCATTGTATTAGACATTACACAAACAAAATTAGGCAAATGACACCTAAAAATGCTACTGACCTTGAATGAAAATTAGGGATAATCCATTCATTGCGCAGAAACCTTGAATATCCATTTTAAGTAACAAAACCTGGTATTCAACATTTGCAAGAGTCCTTTGAAAAAATAAGAGAGAAAGCACTTGCTCTGTCCTACTGTGACCAAATCCGCCATGGGTGATGCTCACACTATTAGCTAGTTCTTAGTGGGTGTTTTACTATAAGAACTCAACAGAAATTTGCAGCCTGCAGTCCACGGTTCTACAGCAGCCCGGCAAGCAGCAGCAGTGACCTGTGGAGAGCTTCGGAAAGCACTGGCTGTTCAGTGAGCAGAGGGCAAGTTAGGGGGAGCTTTGGAAACCACTGGCTGTTCAGTGAGCAGAGGGCAAGTTAGGGGGAGCTTTGGAAACCACTGGCTGTTCAGTGAGCAGAGGGCAAGTTAGGGAGAGGCGTACAATTTCCCCACGGGGATCAGTAAAGTATCAATTATTATTATTATTATTATTATTATTATTATTATTATTATTATTATTATTATTATTATTAAAGACCTTAAAATGTAGACAATTATCAAGACCTCAGATTGTACGAGAGAATCTGAAAGCTATTTGCATCAGAAAGGTGCAATCAGATTTCACAGAGGAAACAATCACACAACTATGTAAGCTACAGTATAATGCCGTATAATAATTATCCTGTTTTATATACAGTGTATATGTAGTCAAACAGGCAACATGGCTGATATTAGACCACAGTGCTCTGATAGGGAATTTGAGCAGTTTACTAAAGACCATAAAAAACTACAGGACTGGCTGAGACCTATTCTTAGTTTCTCTTGCAGTTCGGTTTTAAAGAGCTGGAGGAAGCCCAACAGCATCACAGGCCACTGATAGCACCATGGATTATGGGAAACTGCTGCTGTTTGTGTTTCTGTCATGACAAAAGCCAACCTGTTACCTTCTACAGTTCAGAGATCATTTTCATGAAATTCCTCTGAAGTGAGCTACAGTATGCAGCACTCGCGTACTCCGTGAGATGCAGCTAATGGAAGGAAATTCTCTGCCCTGATAACTTCCCTGCATGTGGTGCCAAGAGGCTCAACAAAGTGTTCAAGTGCATCTTGGCAGCTGTGATGATCACACAGTGAGCAAAGGATTTGGGCCCCAGTGAGAAATTCTCACCTTAGTTTAACAAACCTCCCTTGCAAATATGTTCACTGAAATCTCCAAATAGGGATGGTAATAGAATAGACCTATTAGTGTGTATTCCTGCTCTCTAACAGGGTCATTTATATGAACTAAAATCGAGCAATGTAAGATGAGCAGGTTCTGCGCAGTGACTATGTACAGGGGGCAGTCTGACACCTCTGAGATCTATGGTCTGGAACCGTCCCTGGGGACTGGAGCCTGGCTCCCTCACACCTACACCTGCACATGCTTGGATGTCACTTATGTGGGCCTTGCATAACTATTAGTGGTACTGCTGTTGTTGGATATGATTTGTTGCCTGCCTGACTGTTTTCTAAATGAGTGTCTTAATAATAAGTACCTTTGTTTGCTGTGACCCATGGCTCTAAATGTTCCTCTCCTCACCTTTGGGCAGACGCCTTGGACTGTAGTGGGGAGAATGAGGTCGAGAGGTCTTTGTAACGGGGAGAGAAGTTCAGAGATCTAGAGGGACTTTGAAACAGAACCGGTGAAACAGAACTGTTCTGGTCATGTCCCACGGGGCAGGAGGCCTGGCACAGAGCCAACACATCCTGAAGGGATCACAGCTCCCCGGCCTGGGGATGCCTGCAGATCCCACAGGAGGAGCCAGAGAGTGTGGCCGTAGGAACAGGGGTCCACTCTGACCTGCCTGCTGTGTTACAGTGAAAGCTGAAGGAAAATCAGTGAATGCATGACTCGATGGATGGATAAGGGACTTTTGGTGTACAGTATATTACAAGCTATTGCATCACTTTAAGTACCTTATTTTGTGTTTGGTACTCTTACATTATCACAGCTTACTTTTCGGGGAGCACTCAGCTATTTTACGATACACGTTACGATAATAATACGTACACGTAACTAGATACAATAATCCAGGTCTTCCCATCCGGTGTCCCCTTCAGCTCTTGTCCGGTAGAACAGCAAGGATTGCGCCAAAAACAGCACATCCCAGATACTTATTGCGCAGCGTAGTATTAAAGCCCACTTCACTACTACTGACCTAGAAAATTATACCTCACTGATGAGGACTGAAACAAATATGACTAGTATCAATTTAAGTTAACATTGCCCTATTCTGATTAGACTTATTAAAATCGATTATTACCCGATTAGTGAAATCTTTCTTTAACTATGGTTTTCGAAAACTCTTAGGTCTTTAATTTCAGCTGAATTGCGTGAAACTCGGGTTGAATTCGATAGTAAATTTCATAACCAGCAGGGGGTGTAAGAGAGTGTTTTGGAATCTATATGGGGCAAAAAGCCACATCCAGAACTGGTTCATCGGTCCAGCTGCTAGTCTAGGGGCTGGAAAACACCACTTTACTAAAAGTACAGATCGCTGCTTTTAGGGTACGGCAGGAACAACAAATAGAGGCAACGTGGCATATCCTCTATAGATATTTTATATACCCTGCAGTATAAAATGCTCAGCAGCCAGTGAAGGTGGTTCAACTGAGCGGGAGTGCAACAGAAGAAAAAAGCGGACGGGAGGATCACTTTAGGAACAAAGAGCAGCGGTGTGGTGACAGTGCGGAGATCCGCATAAGGAACAGATCCGAAATACCAAAAACTCTGCAATTAACGCACAACACATGGAAAGGGACTGCAGCCTGCATCGATACCTCGAAGAAATGCAATTTCTTGCCCTATAAGCAACGCCAAGAAAAAGCCACATCGCCCGCTGCCAGATTTTACAGCCAGATTCAGAGACTGGAAAAGGAAGAAATCCATTTTTCTCTTGAAACTGGATTACAGCGCATAGCGGTCGGACCAGGCTTTTAGAAATGGGGTGAGTGTTTGCAGCAGTGCGCACATTCATTTCACCCATTTTAGGTATTAAGAGGATTATACTGTAAAGCTAGCACGCTTGGAAAAAATATGAAAGTTTGGGACGAGAACGTGAGAAATGGGTGATGAAAATGCAAAGTGTGCCACGTCGTTTGTGTATTACATGCGCGGCGTTTCTAACAGCTATATAGTTTAAAATAGATATTTCGAGGTCTTTGGGTTATTCCCCAGATATTTAAGCTTGGACTGCTACTCTTTCTTGGCGGGGAAAACTTCTGATGACAGCGCGGCTTCCACAGTCTTCCTCCTCTGCTGAGTCAGAGTGATCATGTCTCTATGGTTCGGACATTTGCACTTTTAGGAGCAATTGCGATTTCGCCATTGTTTGTACAAGCGTCTCAGAGACATGCATCCACAAACGACAAGGAATAATAGAACAGCATCGCAAAAGTGAATAAAAATACAACAAATGCTATTTGAGCTTCTGTGAAATGTTTGGAGTTCGTAGTTCATACTACAGATCGCGTCTGGAAATGGCAAAGAGAAAGATATGCCAATGGGGTCTGCTTTATTATGCTTAATTTGACCTTACAAATTACCATTTGGACCGTATAGTATTTAAGCAAAATTCATTGAACAGGTTTAAGGCTTTTCCGTACTTTGTAACAACGTATTCAACATTTTTTGCATGCTTTGTTGCAAGTGTTATAGGTGGGCGAAATTTTTTAAAATGTATCTTTTTATAACATCATTCGTAGCTCATGTTTCGGTAACTTTCATTCCCACCACTTTACATAAAATTATTTTTCTGTTTGTCTTTTGACAGACACACACAGGCAGACAGCTACAGACAGACAAAGGCAGAAAGACAGGCAGTCAGACAAAAAGACACACAGGCAGGCAGACAAAGAGGCAAACAGATACACGCAGCCAGACAAATAAACATTTAACGTTACATTTAAGGAGTACTATATTTAATTTCTGTATAGGCGTTAGTTGGTAAATTGTAAGCACTGGCTGTTGCCAGAGTGCGCCAAATCATTGGTCTCTTACTGAGGTTATAGTTACGTCTATTACAGCGTCAGAGACTCTATTCTCCTCATATGCAATGTAGCATACAATAGGGTTTTTAATAAGTCTATTGTGTGGTATTTTAATAATTATTCTAGATTTTTCTTGCTAATCAAGATTATTCTTGTTAATTCTTTGTTTCGTCTGCTCAAAATTTTACTAAGTTTTATATAATGCATAATCTGTACAAATAAATGAATTTCTCACTAGCAGTCTAGACTGTGACTTCAGTTTCTGTAACTCCAGCATACAGGCCACGCATTTTACTTTACAGTGCTTATAAAAAGGGAGATGAGAAGTTTTAAAATTGCATCCATCTCCTTACTTCAGTATAGAGTTTTCCACCAGGGACACATGACTTTGGATTTTAAATCTCCCTCCATTAAGCCACCTCCGTTACTGCAGGACATGGCTGGTATTACGGGAGGCAGAAATATGATTGTAAATCTGATTCTGCTTTCTGTTCAGCAATGGATAATGTGTGGCTGGTGTTTTAATAGAAACTCTCAGGTGTAATATGCAAACAGAGTGGATTAGTGTCTCCAAAGTGCTGGTGTCCCTTTGCACCGTATTTCCTCAGAATGATTCAGCCATTCGTTTTCCTCCAATGTCTCTGATGAAGACGCTTACTGTTCATAGGACAGGGAGCAAAAGACATCAGACACAGGCCCAGCCCCCCCCCTCCCTCATCGGCATTCGGAGCTCGATCTCACACAAATCTGTGCGTCTTCAGAAGCGTGTCAGTAAACCGATATCTCCAGGCAAGACTCCTCTTTCAAAGACAGTCTGGATGGTTGTCAGTTTTTTATGTCTTGAATTCTAGCAAAAATCTGCCAAGTGCTGGATCAGACTAGATAGTTGGTAAGTAACACGTAACTTGGTGCTGATACATGGCGTCTGTCAATCTGATGTTCTTTTCCAGCATTAAATGTGGTCAGTGTTAGCATTTTTTGAAGGCAATAAATGATAATACCATAACAATGAGACATTTTATTGACAGAGGGCTTTTAGATAGAGAGATTGAGGTGAAGGCAGTACACATAGTGCAAACAAGGTCATGGAAAACGAATGAAATGATAAATAATATAAAGTAATAAGGGGGGTTTCATAAAATCATCAAGGTATGAGAAGCACTGCAGTGATTTTTTTAAATTTAAAGACCATATACTTATAAGGCGATATGACATCAGCTGTTGCATAACAGCAGAAGAGACAGATGTGTGTCTTAAGGCCTATTTAAAGGCACAGATTCAGAGACTCGTGTGCAAATGCTCAGCTAAAGAACTCAATAGATAAGAAGCAGGAGGTTAAAGATGTGGTTTCCCTGGGTGTAAATCTCTGTTCCAGAAACTGATCAGCACGATGTTTTTATCAAAAGTTTGACCAGACCAGTGCCATAAAATCCTGGAGGATATTATTAAAATCTCCATCTTCCTGTCAGCCAGTATTGGTACCATGGTGACCAGCTGGTTCAGTTGTGTATAATTAGTGACCTATCCTAAAATGTGGAAAGGGTGAACGCAGTCACGGGAGACAGGTGTGTTAGGGTTAGTTAGGGTTAGGGTTAGTTATTTATTGGACACCGTTATAGGGTAAAACAGGGCTTGTACTCTGACGTCGCTCCTACCCCGGAACATTCACATGCTTCCTTTGTTTCACAAGAATAAAAAAGACCACTGACATGTTTTTTAGTAACTCGACAGTTTCCTTCTGGAGGTATTTTGAAGGGGGCGTCAAGAGAGGAGGATGTATAGAATATCACCTAAAGACAAGCGACTGCAGAGGAGGAAGAATTACCAGCAGATATGGCCGAATGAAGCCCATGACATTTTCCTCTTTTTCTCTGTGTCCGGCATGCTCAGGAACCCTTTGGCCTCTTATGGCATTATGGTTATGGCATTAGAGAACCACAGGATTAGAACCCTTGACCTTCCGGGTGTGAGTACTGATCCCAGACCTGCTGAGAGCAAGCAGCTCAAAACAAAAGTGGAACACCTCAAAGGGCTGGCTGTGCTCCAGATGGGACTGGAGCTTGGTCGTGATTACATCCCATAATCGCTCAGAGAGCAAAGGAAAGTTGGCTTGAAATGTAGGTTTGAAATCTGGGAATGTAGGACTGACTAGTGGCAGGCAGTTCAAAGTTACCTGGCAGCCTTCCAGGCCCTTGTTCATTTGTCCTCTAACAAAATGGAAGAAGGCCGCTAACATTATTTAAATATTACATCACATTTATTCATGTAGCAGATGCTTTTGTCCAAAGCAACGTACAAGTGAGCTCTGTTGAGATGGGATTCATTGGGATTAATGATCAATGATTTTGGTTTCATAATTATAGACAGTGAAGCACTTGTGATGGTCTCTGCAGTGGAGGACAGTGCAGCTGAAGCACTTGTGATGGTCTCTGCAGTGGAGGACAGTGCAGCTGAAGCACTTGTGATGGTCTCTGCAGTGGAGGACAGTGCAGCTGAAGCACTCGTCTTGGCACAGAGTATGAAATTTGCTGCCTCATGATACTAATTTTAACATAAAGGGAAATAGAATCATAGAATAAAACAGAATCGCATATAATTGGGTGAGGTCCCTTTAAATGGCAGACATGGAACAGTGTCAAACACTAGCTAATTTAAAACTGCAGAAACTCAAAAGAACAAGCTATTTGAGTAACAGATTTATGGTGAGCCGCCTTGCACGCAGCTCGGCTGTCGACCCTTACCTCCTGGTCTCCTGCTCGGAATCGGCACAGCTGGCCCTGTTTATCCCCACTGTGGCTGTCTCCACAACAAGGGCCACATGGGTTCGGGAAACTGGGACAACAGTTTCAGACAGTGTTTCACTGCAGAAGCTGACCGCTCATCTCGGGCTGATTCTGAAGTCTGCAGAGTGCGAAGCCTTTTGCATTCCGAAAATAAGGTTGTTTTCGAACTCCGCTGACGCGGAGAGTCTCCTGTGTACCTGTGAATGAGATATTGATTTTATGGCTCTATTATCTAAATGAGTGAAGATCTTGCTGAACCACCTTTAGCCTCAGTAATCCCTGCTAGCCTTCTAAGGGTGTCAGCCACACCACTGTTCTTTGATCCGCCTCCTTCTGTTACGCTGATTTCCCCCTTTTTAGGACGTGTGTCCCTAGGACCTGCAGGGTGCCCCTTCCATGTTCTGGTCCAGCTACCTCGATCGGGCCATCATGGATTTGCTGACCACGTCTGTTTTCAGGGGCATGGTCTCTGACTATCTGAGTGCTGTGTGAACTGAAGTGTGCTGTTTATCACAGTGTTGTATTGACCTTATGATGTCATTACCCAGCATGCCCTCTCTCTGCCTTTGTTTTCTTCACAGAAAAGGAGCTGTCCTGTAATAATGTACCCGCAGCACAGAGAAAGGTACCGCAATAACACTCTTACATGCTCTGTTTTCACCATAAGCCATGCTGCCACCTAACCCTTGATGCATTACCCTCTCGGTCACTCATAGCCCTTCACAGTCATAGACATGAGCAGCTGTCATCCGAGCATCATGATGGGCCCTCAGGCATGAGCAGCTGTCATACGAGCATCATGATGGGCCCTCAGCCTATTGTGTCACCCAGTGCTCAGTCCAGCGCCTGATTAAATAGTCCTGCTTCATTAGATGTGTCACATGATTCCAACTGTGCATTAGTATACATTGCTTGGGGACGCATTTTCATCACAAAATACAATATCTTTACTGAATAATTTCTAAATGCTGTTCAAAACAATATATTTACCTTTTATTTAGATCAGTTTAAAATTGCATCTTAAGAAATATCAGGATCATGCTCTTCATTCCAATAATATCTCAGTCAAGGCTAATTCTGGTAGAGGAGAAGGATACCAGGAGTGCCAGGTTATTCCCAAACCACCGAATCTGAGGGACACCCCCTGACTTTGCTGGGCTTTTAACAGACTGGAGTTTGTGTGACGCTCCTGAATGCTTGGATCTGCCACTGGAACTGCACTATCAGTAGTGCTTTTGTTGGAACGGCATGATCTTTGTGGCCAGGCATTGTTCAGTATTCAGTAAGGCCTTGCAGACCTTTCAGACAGAACTAGTGAACAGGGGGCAGAATTCAGGCCAAACCAGAAGCAAGGGTGTGATCACATGAGCATCGGGTTTTCAGAAACTCACATGCATTTTCTCCCGATAAAAGCATTTGAAGGGAAGCAGCCTGCAGATGTGTTACTCAGTAGTGATTTATCAATTTTACATGGGGCCCTGGGGCCCCACATCCCCCAGCTCTGTGTGTGTGACTCTATAGCTCTGTGTGTGTGACTTTACATGGGGCCCTGGGGCCCCACATCCCCAAATCTGTGTGTGTGACTTTACATGGGGCCCTGGGGCCCCACATCCCCCAGCTCTGTGTGTGTGACTTTACATGGGGCCCTGGGGCCCCACATCCCCCAACTCTGTGTATGTGACTTTACATGGGGCCCTGGGGCCCCACATCCCCCAACTCTGTGTGTGTGACTCTACAGCTCTGTGTGTGTGACTTTGCATGTTCTCTCTGTGTTTGTGTGGGTGTCCTTCAGGCTGTTCTTGTGAATTGGTGACTCTTACCCATAGCACTCGCTGTACTGCTTTGCATCCCATGATTCCTCTTATTGGCTCTGGGTCACTGTTATTCAGATCACTGTTATAAACCAAGGTTCACCTCTCCATCTATGACAACTTGGCAATGCCTTTAATGCTGCTAACCAGAGATTTTGTATATGAATATTAATGTTGAATTCATGCCAGTTTGCATAATTGCAACTTATGCTTGAATAACCTCAGGGACGTTTTGATCCCTTGAAGGTAAGGTGTTAGGAACTACAGTAAGATGCACACTTGAGGACTAGTTAGTTTAGCTGGTTAGGTGGCGACAATGTTATATGGTGTTTTGTTTCTCTGAATTGGTGAGACGTGTCAGCCATTGTAACTTCTGTGTCTTACTCTGTGTAATATGACAGATTTATTTTTGGTCCATGTGATTGTCATATTTTCTCAATTATGCAACTGCTGTCACTTTTTCCCAATACTTTGTTAGATGCCCAGCCAGGAAGCTCAGAGATACACAACTGCACATGAGAGCTACAAATGTCTGGCGGACTCCTCTGCACTGGGGGGGATTCTCTGGGGGGTGTCTCATTCCACATCTCACGCAGAGTCACCCTGTAGAACAATGTATGTCCAAAACGTGGATTAGTACAGGGCACAGAGATGGCACTTTGGGGGTTGATTAAATTTCAGTTTCTGGTGGCCCATCAGTCATTAAGACTGCGGTGAATATGCAGAGCAAAGCATGTGCAGTTTATAATCAGAATTTAGGGGGAAGTGAAGGGCTATGGACACACCTTTCAGCGTTTCTGCACCATTATGTTTGTGTCCTTCTGTTACAGGACTTCCAGACAAGGCATTGTAGCTGTGAAGGGCCTTCAGGGGCCCCTGTAATTCCTGTTGCTGTGAGGGGGCGCCCAGTACTCTGTGTGTACGAGTCAGCCTTCAGGGGCCCCTGGAATTCCTGTAGCTGTGAGGGGGCGCCCAGTACTCTGTGTGTAGGAGTCAGCCTTCAGGGGAGCCTGTAATTCCTGTTGCTGTGAGGGGGCGCCCAGTACTCTGTGTGTACGAGTCAGCCTTCAGGGGATCCTGTAATTCCTGTAGCTGTGAGGGGCCGCCCAGTACTCTATGTGTAGAAGTCAGCCTTCAGGGGCCTCTGTAATTCCTGTTGCTGTGAGGGGGCGCCCAGTACTCTGTGTGTAGGAGTCAGCCTTCAGGGGAGCCTGTAATTCCTGTAGGTGTGAGGGGCTGCCCAGTACTCTGTGTAGGAGTCAGCCTTCAGGGGAGCCTGTAATTCCTGTAGCTGTGAGGGGCCGCCCAGTACTCTATGTGTAGAAGTCAGCCTTCAGGGGCCTCTGTAATTCCTATAGCTGTGAGGGGGAGCCCAGTACTCTGTGTGTAGGAGTCAGCCTTCAGGGGAGCCTGTAATTCCTGTAGCTGTGAGGGGCCGCCCAGTACTCTGTGTGTAGGAGTCAGCCTTCAGGGGAGCCTGTAATTCCTGTAGCTGTGAGGGGGCGCCCAGTACTCTGTGTGTAGCAGTCAGCCTTCAGGGGCCTCTGTAATTCCTGTAGCTGTGAGGGGCCGCCCAGTACTCTGTGTGTAGGAGTCGGCCTTCAGGGGAGCCTGTGGGATCCATCCATGCTGCTCTTGCAGATTTTCATTGGTGCTGATTGGTTGTTCCCATCAATCATAATGGATTTTTTAGTTATGTTTTGAGAAGCTGCTAGGGCTTTCTGGCTTTTTAAAGGCCGCCTGGTGTTTTCCCTGCCTGTCTGTAACATGGCTGCTGGGTCTGTCAGAAGGTGAGGGTGAGGCTCAGAGCTTGGTCTGCTAAACACAAGGCACAGATCACTGTACCACAGTTTGAACTTAACACTTGTCACTTGACAGAGATCTGCTTAAGACTCATGATACTTAATTTCAGGGCTTAAATAGAGCAGCCCAAGTGGGGATAATCGTTATGTACGCCATCCTTTCTCTCCCACCCACAAAGTGCAGTCATGACACTATCAGCAGGAGCTGAGCTGTCCGGTAGTTTGTCTAAGAATTGTAATGACCCTCAAACCATTAAAACGGCCCCTATCAGCTAGGGCAGTGTACCAGCTTTCAGACAGGAGATGTGTGCTGTAGGAAGGAGTTATGGACTTAAGAAGTCACTATTAACGAACATGTGAATATGTAACATGTATTTGAACTTAACAGAGCTTAGCTTCCGTGTTAAAAGGAGGGCGATGACAGCTGTCTCAGTGAGCGTACCAACGATGTAGCCAGCTGGACATCAGTACTGGAACCAGTGAGCTTAGCCGAACACTGGAAGAGCCCAGTTACTGTTTGCATTGCTGAAAACAGTTGTGTGACAGGGTGCTTAATCATCCTTAGGGATGACGTTGATGTTTAACCCTTTATTTTATCATATATGATTTTCACCACAGCACTGGAATTGGGGAAGATTATATATATGATTTCAAAATTGCCCCCCCATACATCTACACAACACACAAATCCTGTTACCTGGCTGAAATCTGACTGGTCTGATAAAGTTGTCGCTCAACGGAGCTGTTGTAAGATCTCATTTTCTCAGAGCCTTGGTCAGGAGTTCATAAAGAGCAGCGATTTTCAGCTCCTACGATGTCCTTCTGCAGCAAAATAACCCCCCTCAAGCTGCCCCCCCCCACGCAGGCATCTCCCCTCCAACTGCCCCCCCCACC